TCCTCTCGGGATCTTGGGCACGCATGCACACACGCCTGGCGTGAGTTTTAAGCCACCGGGTCCGGGACGCGAACCGCGGTCGACTACATGGGAGTCCAGCGACATAGCCGTTACGCTAACTGCTGGTTCCCAGATTAAACTGATTTTTGAAATCACACCGTGTACTGTTAACAGGGATAAGAAACAAAATGGTTTATATTTTTAAATAGAGCTGCATTAAGAGCCAGGAACATGCTGGTACACAGGATGGAAGGGCCACGTCTGGCTTGTACCCTGTCAATTTTGTTCAAGTAACGCGTCCTGGTTTAAGGGAAACCCGGGGTTTGCCCATTTTATGAAGTGCTGATGAGCCCTAAGGCTTTGAGCATCACTGGGGATTTTGCTTTCTGGCTGATCTTCAGCTGAGCCTGGAGTGAGGCGAGGCCGGGAAGCCCTAACTGGGTCAGCAGCTACCACGTGGAGCACGTCTGTCCTCAGGGAGCAAGCGTGGTATGTGGAGCGGAAGATTGAGGTCACGCTTCCTCACGCGGCTCCAGGTAGAGGGCCGCTGAAAGCCTGAAGGAGGTGGTCTTAGGGGGGTGATGCATGGGGTGCTCGCTCCTCCGTAATTGTGCTCGCTGACAAGGCCTGTGTTACTTCGCTTCCAGGCTAGGTTCCTCGGGGAGGCTTTCAGGACAGGCTATGTTCCCGATGACCGAGAGTTATAAAGATTTAAGCGTTCCAGTTTCATTTTCATCATTTTTGAAAAATAATGTGATTTACTGTTTTTTGTTTTATTGAAGGTTTTTGCCGTAAGCCATGTGTACTCACTGGAGAGAGACAGAGAGGAAGTGGGAAGTCACCCCCTGGGGGATGACCATGCCACAGTCCCTTCTCCTCTTGAGATTTTGGACATGCATGCACACACACGCCGGTGTGATTTTTGAGCCGCTAGGTCTGGGACTTGAACTCTGATTGGTCATGTGGAACTCCAGCATCATAACGCCCATGCCACCTGCTTGTCCTACTGTAATTTTTTTTTTTTTTTTTTTTACCATGAATCAAATTTCCCCCAAAGGGGAATTTTATTAATTTTTCCCTCAAAAAAAGACCAACTGTAATCAAATGAGGTGAACATTCGTCTCAAGATTTTGTCATCTTCCTAATAGAAAGGATGAGGCTTAGAACTGGGTCCCTTGACCCTTTCTCTCCTTGTCCCCCCAGTTCACAAGGCTCCCATCTCTAATAGCCAGCGTCCCCTTAGATCTGCAGCTGGGCTCACACATTCATCCTCAGCACGATCTTCTTTGTCGTTTTTGCCTTTTTCCGGAAAATAGGCTTAGTCTCTCCACCACAGCCACTGTGCTTCCTGTCATGATGCTGCTGTCCCTAAGCACTTCTTACAGAAGGTGCAGTGTGTTTTAGGGACGGTCACCATGCTTGCGGGCCTGCTATCGGCACGGAAAACCCTACTGTAAAACTTTACGTGTAATTTTTTTACAGTTTATTATATTCTTCATATAGAGCGTGTGCACATACATGATACATACACAGAACCTCCCTCCACAGGGCTCATGACGCCAGGATCCCCTCCCCTTGGCCCTCCAGCATGTCGGGATCATGGCGTGTGTGGGCCTTGCGTGTTTCCGCACCGCAGTCACCACGCGGCTCTCAGCACTGCAGTGCAGTGTGTAACTGAGTGCCCGAACCACTGAGGCTGGCCTCGGATGTACTGTTTGAGTGAGTGATAAATTCACTCCCTGACTTAAAGGTCTAAGAAATGCTTTAGCACCTTTGTCCATCTGATATCGGTTCCCTTCCCTGAAACGGTAAACGTCATTAGTTCTTTTCTATGTATTCTGCAACCTTTTTGTTATCTATCTATGAACAAAAACCCAAGAATCTTAAAGAATATATTCTCCAAAAATATTCGTATAGATCGTTCACCTTAGATTCTGTAAATCATAACCTGACAGGTTTAAAATTCTCATACTACGTTAAATTGACTAGTGTAGAAATTCTAGAGGGAATCAAACATTAGCAAGGATTTAAAAAAATGATAAAACAATGTTCCAATAAACAGATGATTTTTGGGGGGCATGGGGAGAGAGGATTTTCCCATAGGGTGCGTGCGCTTGTCAGACAGAGACAGAGAGAAAGTGAGAAATCACCCACCAGGGGGGATGGCCACGCCGCAATCCCTTCTCCTCCATTCTCCTCTCGGGATCTTGGGCATGCATGCACACACGCCTGGCTTGAGTTTTAAGCCACCAGGTCCGGGACGTGAACTGTGGTCGATTACATGGGAGTACAATGACATAGCCATTATGCTAACTACTGGTCCCAATAGATGAATTTTTAAATAAGTATTGGAGGGGCTGACTGTGGTTCAAGTCCCAGACCTGGTGGCTTGCTTTCTCACTTTCTCTCTCTCCTGCTCTCAGTCTGTCCCTCTCTGGTCAAATTAAAAATATAAATAAATAAATAAATAAGGTTAAATAAAATAATTCTTAAAAGAATAAATATTGGAAGGATAAATAGTAGTCAGGTGGGTGAATTTATATCCAGATATGTTGTATATTTTAGATGCTCAAAGAATTAAATGTTATTTTTGTTTTTATTTGTAAATAATTATTTTATTTAACTTTATTACTATTATTCTAGTATTTCCAAAGAGAGAAAGGGAGAGAGAAAGAAAGTGAGAAAGCGAGAAAGCAAGCCTCCAGGTCCAGGACTCAAACCATGGTCAGCCATGTGGGAGTCCAGCTCCCTTAACCACCTGCCAGCCCCAGTTGTTTGTTTTTATAAAATGATGTAATGCATCGATGTTTGAATGTGAATGTATGGGGATGAGTTACTGGGTAGTGATATGTAATGTATTGAAGTTAACACCTTGTTGAATTTACTGTATAGCTGTGTGTTTGTGTAATTCACTACATCTCTACCCAGTCCACCTTCCAAAATGTGGGGAAAACAGAGACTCGTGCAGAGGCCTGCGCTTGACTGCTAATTATAGGTTTCTGGGGCCATCTGCACCTGGGGAAGCCCTTTGACAGTGCACAAGCCTCGCCCCCCTCTCCCTCTCCAGAGTTAGGGTCAGGGAGGGGTCAGTAGGTGCATTTTTTTTTTTTTTTTTTGAGAAGTTTTTTTGTTTTTGTTTTTTGTTTTTGTTTGTTTTTTGTTTTTTGCTATAGGGTGCGTGCGCTTGCCAGAGATACAGAGAGACAGAAAGTGAGAAATCACCCCCAGGGAGGGTGGCCACACTGCAATCCCTTCTCCTCCATTCTCCTCTCAGGATCTTGGGCACACGCACGCGCACGCGCCTGGCGTGAGTTTTAAGACACCGGGTCTGGGACTCGAACTGCTGTCGACTACATGGGAGTTCAGCGACATAGCCATTACGCTAACTGCTGGTCCCAGTAGGTGCATTCTGATCAGGAGAACACTGCGTGATCATTATTGTATGTTATGTCGCAAATACAGTCGCTGAGAACATGACAAACATGAGAACTTGATCGTGTAAGATAAAGCAATACCAATCTCGGGTCTTTGACAAGATGGCGTCTATTTAGATTATTTTTCATTAGTATAGGAAGTGACTCCCTAATAGAGAACTTTTTCTTTCTGTAGGACCATAATGTGGCAATATTAACTTAGCTATCTCCTTCATCTTCTGTAGAAGTGGCAAACAAGCAACTATTAATAATTACTACTGATAAAGGCTAATGGATAAATACTGTCATCTTCAAGTATGATTGAAGCACTGGATATTTGAGTCATTGAACAACTGAGAATTTTCAAGGGTCCCGTACGAAGACGTGTTGCTTAGCCAAGTGAAGCCGTCTTAGAAAATGAGTGTTTTTCTGTTTCTAACTTAGAGCAGATATGCATGTGTTTGCCACTGGTTTAGACCTTGAGTAGGCAGGTTTCTTTGTTGAATTTCCTTTAAACAGTCTGTAGCAGGCTGCCTTGCCCTGAAAAATTAGTAACTGCTTAGAAAGTTGTTTTAGAATTTGTTGTTATTTCTATCTGGATGCCATAAGGAATGCCTGTCAGAAAAAGGACTTGGGGTTTATTTTTAGTTTGTTGTGTCTTTTGTTAGTTTTAGGTTTGTTGGATTATTTGGCTTGTTTATTTCAAGAAGCCAAGCAGTTTGCTTCCTGTTTTCCCAATTCCGTTTGATGTTTAAAGTGGTGGAAACGTTTGGACTGGTTCCAAAACCGAGCAGGTTTTCATTGACCGTGGAGTCATTCCCAGGGCGCCGTGTCATAGAAAGTGAGTGATCACTTAGCAGGCGTCTTAGATGGGGTTAGGAGAAGGAGCAAGTGCTTTTAAAAACTACTTAAGCCATGATTCATAGGAGGGAAAACCCAAGCCCAGCAAAGCTTGTATTTGATTAAATATGGAATAGTGGCTCCATTCGACTTTTTATTAAAAATGAAGTGTAGTGCTCATAATGGAATTCAAACATCTTGGAGAACATGTGACGAGGTCTTCGACGTTTGTGCTGGTGTATTAGAGATGAGGGGATGAGTCATGTGCAGTACAGATCTGGGTGGTGGCCAGGCCGTCTACAGAGAGGACGAGAAGTTTGTGGGAAATGAAAGGGAGAGGAAAAGGCATTTAACGTCCAGTCATCTGTGTTTTCCTTCCAGCAACTTGATCTGAATAGTCCAGGCACTAGTCATAGTTAGGTTTCTCTACCAAGTTAACTGGACAACCGGAAACAAGGAAATCCACGTTATTTTGCACACAGTTGTCACGTTTCGAGATAGCTATGCCTGCTGGTCTCACATGTGTAATTCTCTGCACCCTGACAGCAGTCTTGAACCAAAATCTTGGTCCGTGTGAGCGTTCCAGACATCTGGCCCTTTGTTGACTTCCGCCCCCCCATGTGTGTCCCCTCCTTCAACGTAACTTCACCCATTTCCGTGGCTTAGCTAGTCGTTTTTGAGCCCATGAGCTGTGATTATCAACATTAATGCGACTTATCTGTGTGCCTATGTTAATTCCTCTTGCAGTTGAAAAGGGCAGGCAGAAGAATTCCAGAAGCTTATGCATCCAGACCCAGACGTCTCCAGATGTCCTGTCCTCCGAAAAAACACTGGAATTGGCTCAATATAAAACAAAATGTGAAAAGCAAAGTGGATTTATCCTGCAGCTCAAGCAGCTTCTTTGCTGTGGAAACACCAAGTTGGAAGCATTGACGGTCGTGGTTCAGCACCTGCTGTCTGAGGTAGGCTGACGCCCTCTGCACAGCCTTCCCCGCAAGGCCGGGGGTGGTGTGGGGTTGGGGGGTGATGCCCATGCTCTTGTCTCGTGGATATCTCTAAGTAATGATCGCGAAGGTCAGGTGTCATTCACCCAATTGTGCTTTCATCGACGTACCTGATACCCGAGTCAGTCTGGGCATTTGGGCTGCAGACAGAGCCTGTTTGCAGAGCCTGTGGGTTAGAATGGCAGCAGTGAGGAGTGAGAGAAGCCTGCTGTGGGTGTGTACACCGTAGACGTGTACTAGAATCGACTGTTACATAGCTTTCCACGGCACAACCTCGTTTATCATTTAAAAAATGAGGTGGGTTCTATTTATGGGCCAAAGAACACTTTGGAGGTAACTCCCAGAATTGTACCTGGGAATGCTTCGAAATTTCCACCCGATCCTAAAATAACCCGTGGTACAACAGAAGCAGAGCAGACTGTGTGTACGTACACCTCGTTTCGCTCCCCAGGAACGCTCACGCAGGCGCCGGTTGACATAGCTGGGAAAACCAAGTGTACACGAACATATGCTGCTGACATAGCAACAGAATCTGCGATGATCTTAGGGAAACTGGCGTGAGAATAGGACTTGGGCTCGTCAGTTTTGCTTTTGGTTTTGTTTTGCTTTGTGGTTGAGGTTTTGCCATAGGGCACGTGCACTCACCAGAGAGAGTGGGGTTGGGGGGTGATGCCCATGCTCTTGTCTCGTGGATATCTCTAAGTAATGATCGCGAAGGTCAGGTGTCATTCACCCAATTGTGCTTTCATCGACTTACCTGATACCCGAGTCAGTCTGGGCATTTGGGCTGCAGACAGAGCCTGTTTGCAGAGCCTGTGGGTTAGAATGGCAGCAGTGAGGAGTGAGAGAAGCCTGCTGTGGGTGTGTACACCGTAGACGTGTACTAGAATCGACTGTTACATAGCTTTCCACGGCACAACCTCGTTTATCATTTAAAAAATGAGGTGGGTTCTATTTATGGGCCAAAGAACACTTTGGAGGTAACTCCCAGAATTGTACCTGGGAATGCTTCGAAATTTCCACCCGATCCTAAAATAACCCGTGGTACAACAGAAGCAGAGCAGACTGTGTGTACGTACACCTCGTTTCGCTCCCCAGGAACGCTCACGCAGGCGCCGGTTGACATAGCTGGGAAAACCAAGTGTACACGAACATATGCTGCTGACATAGCAACAGAATCTGCGATGATCTTAGGGAAACTGGCGTGAGAATAGGACTTGGGCTCGTCAGTTTTGCTTTTGGTTTTGTTTTGCTTTGTGGTTGAGGTTTTGCCATAGGGCACGTGCACTCACCAGAGAGAGAGACAGAGACAGGGAAAGTGAGAAATCACATTCCGAGGGGATGGCCATGTTGCAGTTCCTTCTCCTTCATGTTCCTCTTGGGATTTTGGACACACACATACATGCACCTGGCATGATTTTCAAGCCTCTGGGTCCAGGACTGCAAACATGGCTGGCCACGTGGGAGCCCAGCACCTTAAGCATATTAAGGATATTGTAAAGATGGGTACCATGACATCTCAGGAGAGGAAGCTGTTTGGTTCAGTTCAGTTCTGAACTGTGTTTCAGTTCCGTGTAACCACCCCGAGTTGGTTTCACACAGGTTACCGCAGGGTGGCTGTGGAGTGCCGAGGGTAGGGAGGGACACAGGGGGACATGAGACTTGGTCTGTGCCGCTGAGGGATTACCACCCTAGTGAAATGCTTTACATCAGTGTGTTTTCCGTGTGTGTTTGTATTTTTGCCAGAGGGTGCATGCGCTCCCTGGAGAGAGACAGAAAGCGGGAAAGTGAGAAAACACCCTCTGTGGGGAGTGGTCATGCCGCAGTCTCCTCTCCTCCACTTGGGACTCCCTTCGGGAGTTGGACACCACACACGTGTGCCTGGCTTGTTTCTCGAGTCCCCGGGTCCAGGACTCAGCTGCAGAGTTGGCCATGTGGGATCCAGCCACCTTAACCATCACACCGTAGGCTGGCCCTGAGGTCAGTGTTTAATGGAGACTTTACAGCTCTGTCCATATGTACTTTTTAGGTTTTTTGGTCATTGTTACAGTAATATATGGTATTCTTGTTTCTTTTCATATGTGAGAAAGTACCCAAGTGTTGGTTTATATAACCAAGCACGTGAAATCAGAAACCATGTCATGTCAGATAGCGGGACAATTACTGCATAGTTTTTCTGTTTAGAGCTAAACCAATGATCGTGTTTAACTGTTTTCAGCCTAACTACCCCCACGTCACCCCTTTTCTCCCCTTTATCTTCCACGTGAATTCAGTCATCAAGGGCCGAGAACCCTCACCCCACCCCGCGTCTCCGCTCATCCCACCTTTGCCATTCCTAAAAATCCTGCTGTGGCCATGCTTGCTCAGACCGCAGGGACTGTCCCCTGGATTATGAGGGCAACTTCACAACGAGTCTTGAGACTCGCACTCTCCCTCCCCTGTAACCTACCCCACGCACTGCTAGCAGAATTCCAGAGAATTCCATTTGCTGATTAAAACCTCCAGTGGTGAGGCCAGCAGATGGTGTGGTGGTGAAGGGCGTTGGACTCCCACATGACTGACCATGGTTTGAGTCCCGGACCTGGCAGCTTGCTTTCTCTCTCTCTCTCTCTCTCTCGCTCTCTCGCTCTCTCTTGCTCTCTGATCAAATTAAAATACATAAGTCTCCACTGTCTGCCCTGATCCATCCCACGTGGTAGCCACTAGCCTTATGAAGCCACCGAGCATTAGAAATGCAGCCAATCTAAATTGAGAAGTGCATTGAATGTAAAACACGCATGATTTCAAAGACCTGGAGTGGAAAAAAGGATGTGAAATACCTCAATAATAATAACTTTTTTTTCTTTTAAATTACTTATTTAATTTCATTCATTCATTTCATTTCATTTGACCAGAGAGAGACACAGATTGAGAGAGAAAGCAAGCCACCAGGTCTGGGACTCGAACCATGGTCAGCCACGTGAGAATGTCCAACGCCTTAACAACCCTGCGACCCGCTGGTCCCAAATAATAATAACTTTCATACTGACCATTGAATGATATTATTTTGTATATATTTGGGTTAAATAAAATATATTATTAAAATTAACTTTTTAATCTTTTTTAAGATGTGACAGCTAGGAAATTTATGATTACATGCATGACTCTCACTGTATCTTGGGGGCATGACTCTGGTTTACTAAGGGACTCCACAAAGTTTATGGTAAATGAAATTCAAATGTGAGTTTATTTTGGTGCAAAAAGTTTTGAAATTTATGCACTTTTTTTTTTAATATGTGTTTTCCATGAACTTTTAATTTTTTTAGGTTTTGCCATAGGATGTGTGTGCTTGCCAGGGAGAGACAGAGACAGACAGTGAGAGGGAAATGGAGAAATCAGCCCCCAGGAGAGAGGGGCACACTGCAGTCCATTCTCCTCTTGGGATTTAGGGCATGCATGCACATGCACCCGGTGTGATTTTCAAGCTACCAGGTCCAGGATTCGAACCACAGTCAGCCGTGTGGGAGTCTGGCACCCCAGCCACCACGCCATCTGCTGGCCCCTTCTGTGAATTTCCGAAGGCCTCCTCATATAATTTGGAATATAACTCTGTAATTTGGCACAGCTGCCCTTGTTAACGTTACTGCCACTGCCCAAATGCTCCAACTCTGTAACAGAGAGATGGAAAAGCAAGAGGGGTCTCGTCTTTGTTTACTTACCGAGTATCCGATTTTCCTCCTTCCTTTACAAGTAAGACGATCGAAGCACAGAGAGGTTCAGTGTAACCCGCCCGTCATCTCCCTGCTAAGGAGGGGAAGACCAGGATTTACTCCCAGGTTAGGACTCTGTGAACTCCAGGTTTCCTGTGAGCTTCCGGTACTTCTTCATCCCTTGTTCAAATACTGGCCCTGGGCCACCTCCCTCCTCCCGCTGCCTGCATGCTCAGAGCTTTCTTCCAGCAACTTCACACCACTGCACGCATTTCATTTACGTGGGTTCATTATACAAGTGGCCAGAGTGAGAATGCACACGGAAGGACGGAGTCCTTCTTCCCTCCTCCTCACTGAGCAAAGGCCCAGGAGCACAGTCGGGATGAGTGGCAGGAGCCTGCTCTTCCTCAGGTGACCTCTCAGACCACGAATTCCTTTCGTGGTGCGAATCCGTGCACTTGATGCAACCCCGGTGTTTAGAGACACTTCTTTCCTCAGGCAGCCTGGCCCCTAAATCCAAGTCAAATGCTTTATCAGCCGCTCAGTTGGCAAAAGAGTAAATCTACCACTAGGGGGAAATCCACTGGGCTGAACACGCCGACAGGGGCGTGGCCAGGCCATGACGTGGCCAGCACCCAGTGAGTTCCCAGGGCGCGTCTATTTAAGTGAATTTACACTTGAACTTTAGTCCCGATCCCTATGAAATCGTGATTCCACTAAATGCACTTACACATCCCTCTTTTATGAGGATTTTCCTGGTGCTCTCCGCGCCCTCTGGATTCCAGGACCATGTATACTCCTTCCTCTGTATCAGAGGTAGCAAGTCAGTGCTTGTTTTTGCCTTTTAAGGCAGGAATTGCATGGAGAGCAGGGTTCGCGCTGAGTGGTGTGTGGAGGAACCGCGCCTAGCAGAGCTGGCAGACACACGGCGCGCTCCTGCATGAGGAGGAACGGATGCCGAGGGCGACTCCGAGTGTCAGGTGCACGTCGCCTCTACGTGGATGTCCTTCACTCTTCCGGTCGCTTTAGTTCATAATCAACTGGCAAATATTTACCGTTGCCTAATGTGTGCAGGAGACTGTTATAAAACAGTTGGGAACACATACTAGAGGAAAGTTAAACTAAAAGAAATTCTTTTTTTTTTGGAGAGGTTTTTGCTATAGAGTTTGTGCACTTGCCAGAGAGAGACTGAGAGACAGAAAGCGAGAAATCACCCCCAGGGGGGATGGCCACGCCGCAATCCCTTCTCCTCTCGGGATCTTGGGCATG